ACAACCCAGCTACCTGTCCCTCAGCTGAAATAACTCTAACGTGTGTGTTTAATGTCAGTTCCTAGAGCTCCCCCAAAAGGATAAAGCTGCAGTTGCCCACTCCGGGAGCTGGTTTAATAATGCACCTCAAGGGCTGGGCGCAGTGACTCACACCTGTAATCCCAGCACTTTGGGAGGCCAAGATGGGCAGATAACCTGAAGTCAGGAGTTCAAGACCAGCTTGGCCAATGTGGTGAAACCCCATCTCTACTAAAAATACAAAAATTAGCTGGGTGTGGTGGCAAGTGTCTGTAATCCCAGTTACTTGGAAGGCTGAGGCAGGAGAATTGCTTGAACCCAGGAGGCAGAGGTTGCAGTGAGTGGAGATCGTACCATTGCACTCCAGCCTGGCCAATAAAAGCAAAACTCCGTCTCAAAAATTATAATAATAATGCACCTCAAGTTGTCTGACTTTCTTTTCTATACCTCACCTGACCTGGTATCCATACCCTGTACCTCTCAGGTAAACCACAGACCTCAATCTTCATCTCAGAGCCTGCTTCTGCGGGAGCCTGAGATGCCATTCCTCATGGTCAGCCCTTCTCAAAGGTGCCCAGGAAAACACTGGAGGGCAAAACGCCCACGAATTGATGCCAACAAGACATGATCGGGTCTTGGAATTAGTGCCCTCTAGGAATTTCAAGAGTTCTCACCCTCTACACCCTACTCATGAACACCTACTCATAGACACCGTACCTTGGGCATCAGAAAACACCAGACTCACACAGAGATCTGGTTGCCCCCACGAAGCAGTCAGAACCTTGGCTTGGGCCTCATGAATCAATGCCTGTGACTCTGCGAAAGGAGCAACTCATGATCTGCAAAGTCAAAGACCATTATTTTCTGTTGATCTTCCTTCATCCAGGAATGATTCACCAAAACAATACCCTGGAGTTTAGCGCCGAGCAACTGGGATCGTCTCCTGTCTGCACATACAGATAAATATGGGTGACCTTCCTTTGCGATAGATTGGTGCTGAGGGCATTGAAACACATGGGTCATGAAAACGATGCGTGGTTTATTGGAAGATGAATTTGTCTTCACACGACTCATGTGTCTCTTTGCTTTACCTTTGCTAAAGGGTACACTACCAGAATAAAAATAATAATTGCAGTGTTAACAATACAGAGGCATTCCTTATACATTTATTATTCCCTAAGCACTGGGTGAAGCACATTGTCTGACTGAATCCTCACATAATGCTTCTCTAAGGTAGGTACTGTTATATTCTATCCCCATTTGCAGAGGCTTCTAGAAGTTTCAGTAACTTCTAGGTCTCACTGTGTTAAATAGCTGAGCAGAGCGTCAAACACAGCTCTAGGCTACAATGCTGTGAGCAGGAACAGCCACATAATTTGTGGAGCTCAGTGTAAAATGAAAATGCAGACACCTTGTTCAATGATTATTAAGAATTTCAAGATGGTGACAGCAAAACATTAAACCAAGCCCCAGGCCCTTCTGAGCATGGGACCCTTCTGTTCGCTGGGCTGTGTCAGGCCACAAGGGCTGCGCCCCATGAAGCTGTCTTTGGTTATGTGGGCTCAGAAAAAAGTGATGTGAGTGATGACAAGGGCCTCAACATTTAACCCTGTTGAACCCTAGATGTGATTCAATGGGCCTGGCTATTTCATCAGAAGAACTAGTCATTTTCTGTCAGGACCTAAATCAGTTCATCTGATAGAACTGCACAAGCTGGGCCTGCAGAGTCTGTGGTGTAAAACATGGAAACGAGAGAGCAGACCCAACGGGTCTGGGTTTTTTTTCCTAGGTGGAGTCTTCTTTCTCTGTCACCCAGGCTGGAGTGCAGTGGTGCGATCTTGACTCACTGCAACTTCCACCTCCTGGGTTCCAGTGATTCTCCTGCCTCAGCCTCCCGAGTAGCAGGGATTACGGGCGCTCACCACCGCATCCGGCTAATTTTTGTATTTTTAGTAGCAATGGGGTTTCACCATGTTGTCCAGGCTGGTCTCCAACTCCTGACCTCATGATCCACACACCTCCGCCTCCCAAAGTGCTGTGATTACAGGTGTGAGCCACCACACCCAGCTGGCTCTTGGGTTTCTTGTAACTCACACAAGGCCCCGGAACAAATGTGGCCTATTGTAGACAGACCTGGACTAGTCTTTTGAGTAGGATGCCAGTGCAGATGTGGCCAGAATTTGCGAGAATTGAGGCACATGTGGCAGCCTCTTACCAGCTAAATAAGCAACCATTCACCAAATTTTGAAGCTGGAGACATAGACACTAATTGTGTGTTTTCCCCAGTCAGGTAACTTTGGCAAGTTCCTGAGCCTCTTTGACGTTCAGTTTTCTCATCTGTAAGACAGGGATATGGTATCTACCCCTCAGGGCAGGAAGTGGGATCATGGATGCAATTATGTTGTACATATATGGCTGCTGGCACACAGTAAGTGCTTGACTCAGTGTATGATACCCGGTGGCTGTTTTCACCATGAATTCGGTGGGACAGTTGAAAGAGCACATGATCTGAAGGTAGGTTATGCAGGCTGGCTCCCAAGCACTGACTCCCATCTTTTATTTGCGAGAGCGTGGAAAAGTCACGGACCTCTTTCCAGAGTCAGCCCCCCCAC